CTTCACTACCTTCACTTACCTTCTAGGCCCGAAACGTCAGCCTTCCTGCTCCTCTGATGCTGCTTGGCCTGCTGTGTTCATCCAGCTCTACACCATGTTATCTCAGATTCTCCAGCATCTTCAGTTCCTACTATCTCTATATCCATAAACTGTTGGGAATTTTTGTCTCACCTTACAGCTTGTGTCAACAAATTCAGTACAGATCGAAGATCAAAACTGAGACCTCCTTTTTTTAGTAGATAGTGTGATATACTGATGAATTTATACATCCAGAGTTGTGTGTAATACTAATTCTGATCAATGACAAATTGTGAAACCCAAATACAATCACATGCTACTTGTGGATAAGCAATTGCTGTTGATGCATGTTATTCCAACTAATCAAGAAGTCCCTACAAATCTAAACAAATATTTCTAAAACGATCCCAGAATTTTTACCTCTGCAAATTTGTCTGGGAATCCATTCCAGTATAAATTCTGTCTGTGTAAAGAAGTTTTTCTTGCTGTTAGTGTTAAATTTATCTCTTTGCTAGTTCAAACCTTGTGCTGCCTTAAACATCTCTTGCAGTTTAAAGTGATATTCTGGACGTAACATTTACATTCCCTTCACTAACTTGTAAATGTCTACAACAGCACAATTCAGATACCTGTTCAGGCAATGAAACATAAATTTCTGTCATTTTTCTTCATAACCAGGTCCTCTAGCATAAATTCACAATACTTTTTCCACACTGTTTCCAATGTTTGACTATTTCTCATGCGCCTTAATGACCTGTATACAGGACTCAAGGTATATCTCAAACAGAACATTATGCAGCTTGGTGATCAGTTCTGTGTCTTGCAGTGCATTGTTTTGGTTTTTTTCACTTGTTGCTCTGACTGAGGAGCTTATTGAGCTCTTTGAGTCACTTTAACAGTACTCATTGAGTAAGTTTTGAAAAACCTATATTTCCTTCCTATGTCATATACTTTACATTGAGCTTTAAGTGTTAGCAGTTGTCATTGTCCCTTCCATTTAAATGCTTTGAATGACTCATTCTATCATTTCTGAGCTTCCCCTGATACTTAGTTTGGTTTAATCTGCAAATTTGGCTCATTTGGATTGGGCTTCAGAATCATCATTGGTTTAACTTAGATGAAGTAATTGTCACATCACTGATTCCTAGGGTAACCAACCCAATACATTTCACCCAACCAACATATTTTATCTTAGAAACACCTAGGGTGCAATTTTCCTCTCCCTGGAGGTGACAAGAAAGGGAAATAGTTGGGCCAGTTTGCCCTGGAGAGAAACTCGCACTTTTCTCAACACCTCACTAAGTTCTAGGTGAGAATGTCCTTGGACAAAGTTTTTGACCTCTCACCAATGAATATTCTTCAGTGGTCCATTAATGGCTATGTGAGAGCCTCAACTTGCCATCTCCCAAATCATTAGCTTCCCCAGTGGGTAAACAAAGTGGTTAGTTTCCTGAATGATATTCACACCCCTGTCTTTGCCTCTGAACCTCCTCTCCCCATTACCCCACTCTACAAAATGGTATAAAAGGTATTTAACTTCTTGCTACTGGAAGGCCAGCAGAGTAAACTTTAGGATTCAGATGCTTTCAGCCCATGCTGACCTGTCAATTCATAAAGAGCTGATCTGTCGGCAGTTGGCGCTACATTTTCTTGGTGCTGGGAGTGACATGTTGAACGCCATCTAATGTGCTCTCCCTGACACTCAAAGAAACCATGGGAACGTTCTGCTCCTGTTTGCTATTCTTCGTCCACTTTCTTACTCAATATTATCTTGTTTTACCATAGCCTTTTGTGAAGCAAAATAGGTATTTGTTGTACTGATCAGGTATGTGTTTCAGTTAATTTTTTTTTTAGTTGTTTTACCAATGCCAAGGTGACATGTGCCTGAAGATCATAGAGAAAGGAAAACATAAAGATGTGCACATTCGAGAAGGAGAGGTAAGTGGAGTTTCTTTTGAACTTTTCTGTTTTAAAACATTCCTTTTTACATCTGTTAGAGAAGTCCAATAATTATTGTCCAATCCAATGGGATGAATCTCAGAGTTAAGAAAGGTCGGGAGAATATTCAGTATTAATACTATTTGGGAGGTAAAACAGTTCCTGAGGAAACATGCACTCCTTACACTATCCTGCAAAAGGACAGTCCTAACAAACAACCTCTACTTTCCAATAAAAACGGAAAGAATTGCAATCTACTTTCCAATACTTGAACGATTCCTGAGCGGTCTTATCAAATAATAAACAAATAATCTACATGATCAAAAAACTTGAAGCATAGGGGGGAAAGCAAAGTAAAGCTTTGTCAAAGAGGTGTCTTTTTTAGGGGGTCCTTCCAGGAGAAGTGATGGAATGGAGAATTCTTTGTGCCTATGAATGAAAGCTCAGATTGACTTCCTGTAGATGAAATAACATTTCTCAGTTGAAATGGTGAATATTTAAGAAATGGCAATTACTAAAGCACTGATAGATAGGCTGAAAGTATTGAAGAGGTGGTCTCTCCTCTGCCACTAGTAATGTTTTAATTCTGGTGATGAGAATGAACATCATTGAAAGTACATTTAAAAATGGAAACAGAAGGATGCAACTGAGAACTAAAGGTAAAATTGTCATACTCCTACCAGACCATAAGGCTGCTGTCTCATCAGTCAGAAAAAATTTAACCTGACGGTCACCACAGCTGAAGGCAGAGATGGAGAAGGAGAGTCTTTCATGGAAACCTCAGCCAGTGTAGGAATTGAACCGACACTGTTGGCATCACTCTGCATTGCAAACCAGCCAACTGAGACAATCTTTCTTTTCCTTTCCCACCCCAACCCCAGATGTTTTTGCTACCAGCTCGAGTACCTCATTCCCCTCAGCGACAGGCAAACACGGTGGGGTTGGTCTTTGAAAGGACGAGGCTGAAGACAGAGTTAGATGGACTCAGGTAAAGTAAGAGTCAAGATTCATGGATCCTCTAGTTGAAGAAAAACTAATGGAATATTATTAAAGAGTGAACCACTATGACAATCGAACAAGTTTATGAATGCTTTTACTGGCAACCCATTAATTGCCAATTTTTTAAGCTAATTTCAATTTCTCATGTTGCTCTGTCGGGTTGGAACTGATGCTTTGTGTATTCTCACAGCAGCTAACTTGAATTACAAATTCAGTAGTATAACTCTTGTATTACCATAACCTATACTGTTACGCCTCTGGCTTATAAAACCCCTTGTACTGCAGAACCTCAGTTCCACCACTGTCAATAGCTACAGTGGCACAGTTGAGATGGGATGTAGTTGAATAAGTAGTGCAGTGGTTCACAGGAGATAGATTAGCATTGATAAGGATATAATTAGAATTAAAAATAAATTTTATTATCCTATGTATTGAAGTACAGGAGTGCGGTGAAAACTGTACAATGTCACCATTCCCGGCACCATTTTAGGTACAAAGGTACCCGGGGACAAAATCTTAGGTACAAAGTAGAAAAATAAAGAAATAAAGTTAAAAGTTAACCATTTCAGTCCTTCTTAGTATATAGTAGAAAAATAAAGTTAAAAGTTATACATTACAGTCCTTCATAGTATAAGAACTGAGGATACCAAGCAAACCATTGCAAAAGATCTCAATGAAAAGATCAAAGAGATTAAAGATTGGAAAGATAGACTAAAGAAAGCTGGAAGCTGAAGAAATCAGGAAAGGGAGCTTCCTCCTAAGGGGAAAAAACACACGGAGCCAAAGTCAAAACAGAAGTTGCTGGGAAGGCTCAGCAGGTCTGACAGCATCTGTGAAGAGAAATCGGAGTTAACGGTTCGGGTCCGGTGAGGGTCACCAGAACCGAAACATTAACTCTGATTTTTCTTCACAGATGCTGCCAGACCTGCTGAGCTTCTCCAGTAACTTTTTTGTTTTTGTTTCTGATTTACAGCATCTGCAGTTCTTTTGTTTTTTACAGAGCTGAAGTTATCCAGGGAGACCAAGAATGCTGCCAAAACTCAATAGAAAATCTGAGTGCAATTGGCAGACCTTCGAATGGCTAATTAGAAAACTGCATTTTAATAGGGTTAGTGAGAGTGTCTAATCCAACATTTTGCTAAGGAAGAATTCTGTTCTGTAGTTAGATTTCACAAAAAAAAACTGTAATGTACATTAGGAATATACATTCACAAAGTAATATCCTTGGAACAATAATGATGATATCATTGGTGAAATCATAAATCACTCCTTATAAATAAGTTTATAGCTTCACAATATCCGGTACATTGAGGAAACCGTCTTTCATTGGTGTTTGGTAATGAAATAAATAGTTCTATTTATTGTAGAAGAAAAATTTCAATAGTTCATACTGCAGCAGAAATGATTTACTCCTCATGTCCTGGGTTTGCCGGCTCAATTGTGTTCCTAAACTTTCAAAGCAGGTTTATCTGGAAGTTTGAGCATAACTATATATTCCACTGAATTTGGCACTACACTTTTAAGATTGCCATTCAGACAAGATTGGGTTTTTATTTTGCATTTCTGTGAGGAACAATGATATTTCGCTAAAAGATGCAATGCCAAGATTAATGCTTAGATTTCTTTTGACAGATACTATGTTGACAATTCCACTGATGTGCTGTTTGAAAGATGGTTCTACTGTGAAGACCTGGGCACCCAGCTTGCTCCCATCATAAAGGAGTATGAATTCTTTGATAATTTTGCAACAGTTGGAAGAGCATTCAGTTGTCATTTACAGCATGATTTTTGTTCTGCGTTTCGTGAACCAAAGTTCAGATATCATGACGCTGAATGTACACAAGAACATGAACACAATAACAAATGTTTTCTTGTCCCCCTTTTTCTGTAGGACACTTAACGTGTAACTTTATTCACTCATTCCCTTTCTGACGGCATTAACTTCTCAATGGAGTGCATTTCCACTAACACTATTAGGAAAACCAGATAGGGTGGCCACAAGGACTTTAAAATAATTTAAGGTGGGGAGAGGGGGAGGGATGAGGTGATTAAAGTTTCCAGAACAAGGAAAATATAGATGGCGGTGTGGTGGCTCAATGGTTAGCACTGCTGCCTCACAGTGCCAGAAGCTCGGGGTTCAATTCCAGCCTTGCTTCAGGAGGCTGTCTGTGTGGAGTTTGTACATTCTCCCTGTGTCTGCATAGGTTTTCTCTGATGGGCTAAATGGCCTGTTTGCACTTCGTAGAGATTCTATGTGCTCACTAGTGCTTCATACAGTTTATCAGCTTAGACATTGAGGGCAAATATCATAAGATTCTGCTTCTGAATGGAGTTGTTGGGAATTCTGCAGCAAGTGACTCTTCTCCTGTCACATGGTCTGTCCAAAATCTGCAAGGTGTGATATAGAATAATCTCTACTTGTTTGAAGGAGTCAAACTCCAGTAACACTCAAGAAAAGGCAGTGGTGAACGGGAGAGGATTGTGGCTTTGAGAGCTGCTGTTGCTTCTGAATGGAAAAGCAAGGCAAAGGACTGCTTAAGGATAGTCAACCTGGCTATGTACATGGGAAATCATATCTCACTAACTTGATTGAGTGTTATTTGAAGAGGTGACCAAGAAGATTGATGAAGGCAGAGTGGCAGATGTTGTCTATATGGACTTCAGTAAAGCGTTTGACAAGATTCCGCATGGTCAACTGGTTAGTAAGGTTAGATCACATGGGATCTGGGGGAGATAGCCAATTTGGATACAGAATTGGCTTAAAGGTAGGAGACAGTGGGTGGTGGTAGAGTGTTGTTTTTCTGTCTGGAGACCTGTGACCAGCGTTGTACCAGGATCGGTGCTGAGTCTACTGCTTTTTGTCATTTATATAAATGATTTGGATGTGAATATAGGAGGAATGGTTAGTAAATTTGCTGATGACTCCAAAACAGGTGGTGTAGTGGACAGTAAAGAAGATTATCTCAGAGTACATGGGACCTTGATCAGAAGGGCCAAGGGCTGAGGAGTGGCAGATGAGGTTTAATTTAGTTAAATGTGAGGTGTTGCATTTTGGTAAGGCAAAACAGAGCAGGACTTATACAGTTAGTGGTAGGGTCCTGGGAAGTGTTGCCAAACAAAGAGACCTAGGGGTGCAGGTGCGTAGTTCCTTGAAAGTGGAATTGTAAGTAGACAGGGTGGTGAAGAAGGTGTTTGGCACGCTTGCTTTCATTGGTCAGAACATTGAGTATAGGAGTTGGGATGTCATGGTGTGGCTGTGCAGAACATTGAGGCCACTTTTAGAATACCATGTACAATTCTGATCTCCCTTCTATAGGACGGATGTTGTTACAACTTGAGAGGGCACAGAAAAGATCTACAAGGATGTACCTGGGACTAGAATGTTTCAGTTACATGGGGAGGCTGAATAGGCCAGGGATTTTTTCCCTGGAGCATCCGATGCTGATGGGTGACCTTGTAGAGGTTTATAAAATTATGAGGGGCATGGGTAGGGTAAATAACCAAGGTCTTTTTCCTAGGGTGGTGGAGTCCAAAACTAGAAGGCATAAGTTTAAGGTGAGAGGGGAAAGATTTAAAAAGAATCTGAGAGTAACTTTTTAACGCAGAGGGTGGTGCGTGTATGGAATGAGCTGCCAGAGGATGTGGTGGAGGCTGGTACAATTACAACATTTAAAAGGCATCCGGATGGGTATATGAATAGGAAGGGTTCAGAGGGCAATGGGCCAAATGCTGTCAAATGGGACTAGGTCAGATTGGGGTGTTTGGTGAGTGCCGATGAGTTGGTCCAAAGGGTCTGTTTCTGTGCTGAATGACTCCAAGTTCAACATGAACATAGCAAAGATTCCTGCTTGGTCAACACTATATCTGCCACTTTCTTCATTCATTCCCTCACCATCAACATAAGATCCAATGCAGAAACCTACCAAGGAATTATTGATAGCACCTTACAAACTGTCAATCTCTATCGCCTAGAAAGGCAAGGGCAGATAGTGGTGGATGGAAGCACGAAGTGGCATATCATCCTAATTTGGAAAATATCACTGTTCCTTCAGCATCACTGAATCCATACCCTGAAATTGCCTACCCACTTGTTCTCCACAGGCATCAATGTTTCAAAAAGGTGACTCAAGCCCACGTTCAAAGGGCAAATAGGAATGGGCAATGAATTCTGACCTTTTTGGCATCATACACAATCTATGAATCAAATTTCAGAAATCTTTTTAGCAAGCCCACAAAAGTCTTACACTTGTACAATAATTTTAGCATTAGTGCAACGCTATTTTAGCTTGGCACCAATATTAAGGAGAATAAACCATGTGTTATGGCCCAAACCCACTCCAGAGCAGAGTGATGTTAGACTTCATCTATGTAGAAAATGGCCACTTTGTTCTATTGTTGAGTTCTGTAGTGACATTGGATTTGGGTTGCAGTTACAGTCTACTGGTACTGTCAGTGTGAAGGACAATAGCTTCACACTGACACTACAGCTATAGCATTAACACACCCAAAGTGCACAAATATCACATATAACAGCCTGGGAGTTCAGAGTAATGTTTCTCAAGCAGGATTCCACTATCCCAATAGCTGTTGTAATATTTCTGACCCCTGAGTATTCTCTGACTCATGAGACATGCTTTCACAATTTCTTGTTTGCAGTTTCTGTCAAATACTGGGGAATTGATAAGATCATACATCTATAATGTAATTTGCTTAGCTTTGGTCCTGTGACTGCATCTGAACCTAAAGTTCAAATCAATTGCAGAACAGTTGTGTAACTGTTTTCCATTAATCAAAAATGCACTTCTAGTTAATAAAAACCTTTCAAAAATAAGGAATGTCTTTCAATTTGCAAGTTAGATGGTGCTGAAGTGTACCATTAACAGCAAAATAAATACACAAAGTTCTTTTTAAATAGCTTTGTGGTTCAGGGTGAAACTCTTGTTGTGGGTTAATTCTTGTGTTTCTTTGGCTAAGATTTTAGTGGGGGGGGGGGGGGGTTTCATTTTGTGGTCCAGTGAGTTCTCTTGCCCTATTTTACCAAAGTCACCTCATTAGTTACTTACCACACTCCTATGGCATCACTCACTGATTTCTGCCCCATTTACCACATGCCATTCTTGGAATGGTTCACTACTCGGCAGATATCTGTTGAACCACCACCATTCCTTTAGACCGAACTATCTCATACTGTCGCTTACTCATCTATTTTTGTATAATAATACATTATTATGCAAAAGTACATTCATTTCCATCATCCTAATCATTACCATATATTGTAAACATTTGTGGCCCCAGCACTGATCCCTGTAGCACTCCACTATTTACAGGTTGCCATCCTGAAAATGCTTCTGTTATCCCAAATCATTGTCTTCTATTAGGTTGCCAATTCTCAAGCCATGTTAGTATATCACCTTATCAACCCAAGGTATGATAACCCTCTGATTAAACTAACTACCAAATGTCTCTGTCTAATGAGAGAGCAGCTATATGGTCCTCTGGGAAGTGACAATGCCATGGATTTAAGAGGCTATTTTGTCCTGTTTCTTTTTAGAGAAGTTCTAAAGCAGAGGTACCGAGCAATCTATGAGAAGATAGACAACTTCTGAACACTTAGGTTGTTTTTAAAAATTTGAGACAATAGAAGCAGCCTGAGTGGGTGTCGTCAAGCTCCCACCCACAGAACCAGGGTTTTTAGTTTAGCTTTCAGCAGTTGTTGCTGGTGTCTTGAAGAAGTGAAAGCTATTTCTTTTTTCTTTCTCAGTTACAGCCATAAGCTTGGGGTTTGCTGCCTGTTACAGGAGTTGCATGTGAGACAATCTGTTTCCTGAATTTGCCTTTTGCCCAGGGTATGCTTATGGCCTGTTACTATGTTGGAACAGTTAGTTAGTAATACTTACTGTGTCTATTTTTCTGTTAAGTTTTCCAGTAGCATTGAGTTATTCCAATTCCTTCTTTCTTTTGTTGGAATTTAAATATAGTGGATGAATAAAGTGTGTTTTGCATTTAATCCAATTGTTTGACCGATCAAATTGCATCTGGAACACAACACCTTACATTTACCTTTAAACTAAGAAAATATTAGGGTGTAGACTATCTTTTGAATATTTTGAAGGGGTTTGGCCTAATCCATAACAGAGACATGGCTTTACTTTAACCCCAACTCCATAGGCTTTTACCTTATTACCTAACCTTCGGTAACCTTTGGTACTTTATCAAATGCTTTTTTGAAATCCAAATATATTACATCTAATGGTATCCTTCATCTGCCCTGCTTGTTACCGACTCAAAAAACCATAAAAAATTTGCCCAGCATAATTTCTTTTTCATGCTAACTCTGCATGATTATATTACGTGTTTCTAAATGCTTTGCTATTAGATTCTTGACAATAGACTGTTCCATGTCCCAATGACATGTTAAACTAATTGGCCTGTAATTACCTTTTTGCTATATTCGCAGTTTTTCAATCTTCTGATCCTTTTCAGGAATCTAAGGATTCTTGGAAGATTACTACCAGTGCATCCATTATCTCTGTAGCTAGTTCCTTTAAAATTCTAAGATGCAACCCATCAGATCCAGGGAAATTATCAACCTTTTAGTTTCCCTTTAATTTTTCTCTAGTGATAGTTACTTTATTTCTTCCCTACTCTCTTTAGCCTCTTAATTTCTTGATTTTTTTGTTGGTAATGATATTAGCATCCTTTTCTGTGAAGACTGATGCAAAATATTTGTGCAAACCTTCTACCTTTTCCTGGCTGCTCCTTATTATTTGCCCAGCCTTGCTGTCTAAGCAGCCTATGTTTAGCGTTGCCTCTCTTTTCCTTTTTCCGATATTAGCCTCTGTTTAAGTTTTGTCTCCATTGCAATTGTTGATATTGCTCCATGTGGAGTTGCTTCTTTATCTTTAGAATTTTAAGTAATCTTGCTGAATAACAGTTTCCATGAGAAACAGGCCGTTTGGTGCAACAGTACTCTTTACCAGTGTTGGTGTACCACATGGTCCTTCTTTGTCTTCATCTTTCATCATTCAGTAGAATAATGTTGAATGTTTCTGGCCACTTTTCATCAAGCAGAGTATGTACTGCTGAAATCAGTTGAATTATTTCCTTTATCTTACAGATTTTTCAACTCTGAAGAATATAGAACTGGGAAACCAAATCCAGGTACAGAATGTATCCAAATAATTCAAGTCTGTGCTATTGATAACATTTGACTTTAATAAGAGATAACAAGGTGTAGAGCTGGATGAACACAGCAGGCCAAGCAGCATCATAGGAGCAGGAACGCTGACGTTTCGGGCCTAGACCGTTCATCAGAAATGGGGGAGGGGAAGGGGGTTTTGAAATAAGTAGGGAGAGAGGGGGAGGCGGATAGAAGATGGATAGAGGAGAAGATAGGTGGAGAGGAAACAGACAGGTCAAAGAGGCGGGGATGGAGCCAGTAAAGGGGAGTGTAGGTGGGGAGGTAGGGAGGAGATAGGTCAGTCCAGGGAGGACGGACAGGTCAAGGGGGCGGGATGAGGTTGGTCGGT